CGGCGCGCGCGGCGGCCCGGCTGCAGGAGCAGCGGGCTGCAGGGCGGGCAGCGGAGCGGGCCAGCCCCGCACGCACGCGTCGCATCCCGAGGGGAAAACGCACTGCCGGCCAGGGCAGTGCACCGCAGCGCGAAAAACATTTTCTTTCTGTTCCCCCCTCCAGATTTTAATGTAAGTTTTCCCCCAAAAAATTTAAAAACTTTTCAGAAAAAAATTGGGAAAATTGTACAAATTTCTAGAAAAATTGGACAAAAATAAAACGTTCCAGAAACAAATTTGGAGACTTAGAAGTAAAATACTGAAAACCTTCGTCAGAATAGTATTCTGGAAAAGTAACATTTCTATATGCTCCTCTTAGTGTCTTAGAGGTGGGCCCGACACGAAATAAATTCTACGCTTCTGGTGGACCGGTCCACAGACCTCGGAGCACAATTTAGGCATGCTGTACCGTATGAAGCCGTGCGGACGCGTTGCCTACTCGTGTGGTGACGAGTGCGAGTGGTTAGAGACGGTAGGCAAGCCAATTAGAATTATGACAAGGACGACGACGAGGACGGTTTACTCCTAACGAAGTTTCAGTTTCCCTCTTCTAATTGTGAGGGCCACTCACCGGCCGCTGCTACAAATCTCTGCGTGTGTCTCAATTTCTCCCTAGTTTTCTACATTCTTTACAGCTTTACTAACTATTATCATTAATCCCCATTAATGAAGTTAGCCTTGCTATGCGCTGATAAGCAGGACCATTATCTTTCCTATCACACCGTCACACCGACCGCGAACACCACTCAGCACTCGGCGAGTGGTCAGCAACCACCCCTGGGAACATACCTCAAGGACGCCATAACCCACTTACCTTTTCCTCGTAAAAAAAAATTATGAATATTTCTTGTCATGCATATCAGATTTACGAAGAACTTCAATCTTTGATGTGAATAAGTGCTTGGTTTCCAATCGAATTTTGTAGCTATTTTTTTTTCTTTGAAAGTTTAGAAGTTTCTTGCTGATCTCGTGGTACGGCATTGTGCATCCAAAATTTACTAACCGAAACTCCCAGGTAATTTTAACTGGGGACCGTCCCGTTCCAGGCAAGTGACGGCCGGCGGAGGTCAAGGTCGTCTAAACGCGGCCGGTGAGGCAGCGCTCGGTGGTCCAGTTCCTTTATCTGGCGGCATAGCGGTGGCGCCGACGCAACACTTATCATCACCAGGCCTGGGAAAAAAATGAATGAATGGGGGAGCGTAACAGAGAATGAGTCATTTACTGGACAGTCTCACACCGCGGGGGCAGGTGCGAAGAGCGAGCGAGTGAGTGAGAGGGCGGGAAAAAGAGAGAGAGAGAGAGACAGATAGAGAGAGAGAGAGAGGGAGAGAGAGAGAGAGAGAGAGACGGGGGGGGGGGGGGGGCTGGTGGGTAGAGAGCGTGCGCCAGCGCCAGCAAACAGGGGGCAATAAGCTCGTCTCTTCTCGTTGTGTGAGGTCCGTTGTTGCAGCCTTCTGTGTACACAGGCCACAAGCTGTGACTGTGTGTGTGTATGTGTGTGTGTGTGTGTGTGTGAGGGCCGGCGCACAGGTGGCTCCCTGTGCGTGCGTCCGCGTGCGTCCAGCAGCAGATCCCCGCCCTCCGCCCTGAGCGGAGACCCGTTTCCTTTCCGCCAAAACGCAGCAGCAGCAGCAGCAGCAGCAGAGCAAGCGCACTCTCACCACCGCAACGTGTTTTGTGCCGTGAGTCCCATTCGCGTTGAGCAGAGCGCGCGTGGCGCGTGCCGCCCGCGGAGCGCTATATATGCTCGCGCACGCCCCGCCGCGACATATACGCACCTGGGGGGCTCGGCGCGCCAAACTGCCCGCCGCCATAGGCCATAGAGCCCAGCCCGTCTTGACAAATTTCTCATACCACCGCGACGACGACGAGGACGACCTGCGTGCGCGCTCACAAACAACACAACGGCGGCGGCGACGGCTCTTCTCTTGTTGTCGCGGCCTCACATGTGGGGCAACCAAAACTCGACGCGGAGGCGACACGACGACGGGACAATAAATTCTCCTTCCAGCTGGTGCCTGTGGGGCAAGGGCGAGAGAGCCGCGGGACTGCGGCCGTGTGTCACGCGTCCTGGAGCGGCCGCCGCTACCGCTGGAAGGACGCGGCGCGGCGCGGCGCTCCACCTTCGAGGAAATCAATCCTTCTGCTGGACTCTCGTTTGTCGGACACACACGGCCCGTTGTCGGTGCATACACACACACTGACGCACGCGCGCACACACACACGAGACTCACCTCGAGCCGGTGTTTGTGTGTGTGGTGGTGGCGTGGTGGCTCTGCTCGGAGAGAAATAGGGTATTCCGCTGCGAGCGAACCGGAACCTAAAGAAGAAAAGCATGACTGCTCGATCTTCTTCCCTCTGCGCGCTTATTGGCTGACCGGCATATCAAGGTCATCGTCGACCATTCAACGTTCAGGAGGAAACAGATCAGGCAGTCATGCTTTTCTTCTTTAGGTTCCGGTTCGCTTGCAGAGGAATACCCTATTGGTCGCGTTCGTGATGATCTCTGGAAAGTAGTGGGTCAGAAAACCAGATGCAGGCAAACGAGGACGGCGATCCACGCTCACATTTCTAGAATTTGTCATACATTTCAGATTTGAAAGAGGTCGATCTGATATATTTCTGAAGTGTTTAATTTTTCAGGTTTATGAACGATGTCGTTTATCTTTCGACTGCTGCTCAGTAATATCCTGAAATCGTGTGACGTTTGTTGATGGTATTAAGTATTAACACACTCTGTTTTCTCTTCATTGCAGGCCATGGGGCCCGGGCGCACTCTGGCGTCGCTGCTCGGTAAGACATCATGGAGGAGCTCCGTCGAGGATCACACCACGCGCACGTCGACCGGAACCGGAAGTAGTGTGTCCGGAACAGCCCCGTGCACACACACATCATTACCATCAGTAGTCATACTCGTTATTGGCAGGCATATGCATGGCCTGCACACACAGCGCAGTTCGCTGACCGCAGGGCAGCGAGGGGGCAGAGCGGCAGAGCGGCAGAGCGGCAGAGCGGCGTGCAGCAAGGGACTCGCGTTCTCGCCCGCGTCCACGTCCCCCGCGGCGACCGGCCGGTGACCGCACACAAACAGATGGAGATAACGCCGTCCTCTGCTCGGGACCCGCCAGGACGTAACGGCAGTAACGGGCTGCTCTCCCCGCCAGAGCGGCCCTCGGCCCTCCGCCCTCCGCAGCCAGGATTACGGAAAGGCGACCACGCAGGATAGAAAAAATCGCGGTTGAAAAAGAAAAAGAAATCATTATAGCAAAACAAACATCACGCAAACAGAGGCCATCAAATAGTTAGTAAATTTTGGGTGGGTATGTTTGGCACAAGGTGCCCAAAGGGTAAATGTGGGTAAATGTGCAGCTTACACACAGGTGTCCCGTTTCGGTGTGCGGCTTAAAAAAACAATGGAAGAGGCATTTACAAATGGCCCGTTCATAAGTAATTTTTTATTGTGAAGGCGAAGTGACATGAAATTTCAGTTTTACACGGTAAGTAATAAATACTGGGTAGGCATTTTGTTTCCAGTGGAGGAAGGTACGGCTGCACTCTGTCGGCTGGCTGTCATCAACGGCTGGGTTCTTAATCAGGCAGGTCCGGGGACTCAGGGACTCACCCGTGTGGGGTGAGGGAGACGCTCCATCAGGGCCACAAAACTTCATCTCGTTTTCGAACGTCTGCGTGTCATTTTGGGTGCCCCGACCGGTAACTCTACGACTAGCCTACTGGTCACGGAACTTCGCGAGGAGGGCAGGCGAGGTCGCTGAGCTCTATCCTATCTTTCTGTTTTATTTCGCTGCTGCAACGCACCTTTCTTTGGTCAAACTGTTAAATTCATCTTTAGAGTTAATGGAGAAAAAAGTGGCATCTAGTTTCAATCAACCATATTCTCATAAACATGAAAGGAAATGATAAAAATCCAATCCGAAAAAAAAATCGTGAAATTTTGTTTGGAAAAAACCCACTTGGTGTGCGTGTATACACCCTGAGGACAATGGTCTCATTCTTATCGCCTTCAAAAATCCTGGACGGGCCGAGGGACAGGGGGGAGGCGGGGTCGGGGCGCCCGAGAGTGAGAGTGCAGTGCGGTCGCGGCGGTATGGCGCGAACCGAACCGGCGGCGGCGTGTTGGCGAGGAAGGCATTCACACGCACGGGCCGTGGTGGGGCGGGTGGGGCGAGGCTGGGTGAGGCGGGGTGAGGCGGGGTGAGGCGGGGCTGGCTCGTTAGTGCCACTAGCTTCCACTCCACCTCCGGACCAGACCTTGGTCCAGTGCCCCCGTGTCCGGCCATGTCCGACTGATTCGGCGGCCACCCTGGAGCAGCGCCGGGCCGAGCCGGATCGCCTACTCCTCCTCTTCCTCCTGCCCGGCCAGGCGGATGGCGGATGAGGATCCACAAACACCCGTTTAATTATTTCACTCGCCCGATTACCCAAGTTTTCTCCTCCTCTCTGTCCTTTTGCTTTCGACGCGCCGAACGGGCTGAGCAATAGCCATAGCCGCCGCCGCCGCCGCCGCCGGGGCCATTGTCCCGAACTCGCTGTTGAGTTGAGGCCCAAAAGTGACGCGGCGCGGTGCGTCAAACGCGCAAGGACGCGCCCCGGACACGGAGACAAAACGCCGCGACTTGAGCCGCTGGGGGTGACGGGTGACGGCATGCACGCGTGCGCGCGCAGCACGCGCTGCTCCCCCGGCCCGCCGTTACAAAACCCTGGAAAGGACGCGACGGCGACGACGACGACGACGTCTTGACGGGAGCAAATCTGAAAGTGAAAACGTTATGAGGTGCGGGGCCCGCCCGGGGGGAGCCGAGTGACACCCGTTGCGAGACGCGCGCGCGCGCGACAGTTGGCTGGCGCGCTGCTGCTCCCGGCCCGACCGGGGCCGCCGACAAGGAGCAGTCCCGAGCAGTGCCGTCGAGGCGGCAAAACAAGTGAAATTCGATCACACGGGAATGCCGCGCCTCGCGCGGCAGCGGCAAATTGGGTTAACGGTGCACAATGGTGGTGGTTATTCCTCATGGATCCCGAGCGAGGCAGGGCTTCCTACAAGTCAGGGCAGGCAGGCTGAACAACCGAAGCGCCGTAAAAAGACCTGCTCGGCTCGCGGCGGTTGCTGCTGTTGTTGTTTCCCAACAAGTGCAACAACACCGCCTTACTTCTCGTTTTGCTTTTGCAGGAGTAGCGGCCCTGGTGCTGCTGTCGGCGGCGTGGACGACGGCGCTCGAGGACTTCCCCGCGGAGACGGGCCCCGGCCCGGGGGCTGCAGCGGCGGCGGCCGAGGACCTCGGACAGGCAAAGGTGCAACAAGAAGGGCAAGGGAACGACATGTCGGTCAGTCTCGTAATGCCGCTACTCGCATTGCAGGTCATTTTACTAACCCTCTCTTTGAAATCACTTTTGTGCATCATCGCCACGCACAGCACCCGCCGCATGAGAACCCGGTGTGGGGTGTAGGCGCCGCCCTGGGCGCGCGCCGGGCCACACCCGACACACTGGCACACTGCACTCTCTCCTCAACCCCCGACACTAACTCCGCAACGCAATAATAACGATTCCGCACCGGCGCTCCGAATTGCATGCGAGCCGTAAAACTGCATCGCGGCGGTGCGCTGCGGCTCGGCCCGCGCACCCCTCCTCCCCCTCCTCCTGCCTCTCCTCTCGCCGGGCTGCCTCCGGGGAGGAGAAGAAGGAGGAGGCCATTCCTGCCGTGAGCGGGAGGCCACCGTGCGGAACGCGGTGGTGCGGGTCGGGGAGGGCGGCGTCCGCGGAGCTTTCGATGCATTACTTTTTACTCCGTTTCCATTACAAAATCCGCGGCGCTACAGGTTTCGCTGAAGCCGCAGAAAATATCCCCCTAGTCTTACGCCAAAGTCATCACCATCATCGTCGCCGCGTTTGTCAACAGACGGCGGCGGCGGCAGCCGCGGGCGCGGTCCGGTTTGGGATCGGCGTTTGTGCCCGACGCGAACCCCATGATGACGTCATTTTTGAGCGGCGGCCGGTCGGTTTTTAATGTGAAAGTCCCGCTCTGCCGCGACAAGCACGCTCCGATGAGTCGCGTCGCGACGCCGCCATCACTTTCAGGATCGCCCCGCGAGGATCGCGCACGCGACAACGGCACTCGGTCAAGTTCTTGTTTATACACTGTTTAATAACTGCATCGGCATCCCTTTGCATTACGAGCTCTCTCATGTCCGTCACCAAACACTCCAACACTAACTACTTATGAGTTACCAGCGCCGTGGCCTCGGGTACTAACCATCGCTCTCCCCGCAGGCCGTGCCCTCCGCCGACGGGTGGCAGCCCATCGCCCTGGTGACGGAGACGCCGGCCCAGGCGCCCACGCCCCTCGACGCCATCCTCCAGGCCGTCGCAGACGCCGCCGTCGATGAGGCCGCCGCCAACGAGGCGGTCGGCGTCGCCCCCGAGTACGACGCCGGCCCCGAGCCCGACAACGCGACCGTGGCGGACCGCGGAGGCCACGCCAGGGCGCTCCGGCACCCCGTGCACTCGCGTCTGCAGCACCACATGAAGCCCAAGAGGCTGCAGCGGCCGCCGGAGTCCATGGCGTCCAACAAAGTGGGTGTATGTCCAGCATTTGGGTTTTTGAAGCAGAGTGTCAAATGTTTCTTCCCCGCAGAGCCGACGCTATGCTAAACGCTGCGTCTGTTGCAGGTGGAGGTGTTCGTGGCCGCGCCGCCCAGCATGCTGGGCTCCTTCAGCACCCTCGGTGGCGCCCCCGCACCGGCCCCGGCCCGCGCGCGCACGCCGCCCCACGAGAAGCCGTCATCGCCGGTCCCGGACCCGGAGAAGAGGGCGACGGAGAGGCCGGACAAGCTGCACGCTCAGGAGACGCGCTACCTCTACGACACGCGCGTCTCCTTCCCCTACGAGCTGCTGCCACCGCCTATGGCGCTCCAGCAACGCCCCGTCCAGTACAAGAACCCCACTGAGCAGGACCAGCAGCAGGTGCGCAAGTCGCAGCAGCAGCAGCAGGCGGCCGCGGACGAGCCGCGCCAGCAGGTCATCTTCTTCGGCCAGCCGCACCTCGGCCACAGCCCTGCGCCCAGCTCGTCTTCGTCCTTCAAGTTCGGTCCCTCGCAGACGAACGCCGGCGGCGCACTCAGCTTCTTTGACCGGCCGCAGCTGCAGGTGTTCCCGCAGGTTGGTCTCGGGCAGGGTCTGGGCCAAGGCCTCGGCCAGGGTCTCGGCCAGAGCCTCAACCCCTTCCTGCAGGGCGTGAACCCCTTCTCGTCGGCGCCCATCTACGGCCAGCCCGCCCCCGACCTGTTCCGCAAGGACTCCGTGACCCAGTCGCCGCTGTACTTCCGCGGCCACTCGCCCGCGCTGCCCGCCGTGCCCCAGCAGACGCCGCGCCCGCCCGCGCCCGCGCAGCAGGTCCCCGACTTCCGCTTCGTGCCGCCCATCTCGGACCACGCCTTCGCCGCGCTCACCCAGTCCTTCATCCCTCCCGCCGATCGCGCGAAGCAGCAGCAACAGCAGCAGCAGCAACAGCAGCAGCAGCAGCAACAGCAACAGCAGCAGTCTCAGCACCATCAACACCACCTCCAGCAGTCACACCACCTTCAACAACCAGCAACAGCAGCAGTCTCAGCACCATCAACACCACCTCCAGCAGTCACACCACCTTCAACAACAGCAACAACACCAGCAGATTTTGGCTGGTTTTGCACCTAACCTGTCCACCACCAAGTTACCCTTCCACCAACCACACCATGCTGGTGGCTTCCATAGCGCGTTCCAGCAGCAGCAACAGTCACACCTGTCCGACAGCTTCAACCGGTTCAATACTGACAAGGGCTACCTTAACCTCGGTCAGCAGCAACAGCAGCAGCAACAACAACAGCAGCAGCAACAGCAGCAACAGCAGCAACAGCATCAACAGCATCAACAGCATCAACACCACCACCACCAACAACAACAGCAGCAAGCCAAGCCCAGCTTCCACCTGAAGGACCCTACTCCTACCAAGGAGAGCTACTCCACCAAGCGTCCACAGCTGCAGCTGCAACAGCAGCAGCTGTCCAGCAAACAGACTCTCCTCCCGGCTCCATCTCCGTCCAAGACAACGCTGGTCAATTTCGGACTTCTGGCGTCCGAGGCTCCCCAAACGCGTCCGAACAAGATCAAGCTGACCGATGGCAACCCCATCGAGTCGGAAGGCAGCGCCGCCACGGACAGGCCGCTGGACAGGCCCAGCGCGCCGCACTCGTACGCTCAGATCAACACTCCGCACGGACTCGGCGGACTCACATCGAGGCCAAGCAGCTCGCCATTTAGCGAGGACGAGGCCGGATACCCGCCCAGACTGTCCTTTGGCAAGGAGGACGCCAAGTTTGGTCTTCAGCAGGACACCAAGTTTGGCCTCCAACAGGATAAGTTCAATCTCCACGCCGATACTAAGTTCGGTCTCCAGCAGGACTCCAAGTTTGGCCTGCAACACGATAAGTTCAACCTCCAGCCCGACACCAAGTTCGGTCTGCAGCAGGACACCAAGTTCGGTCTCCAGCAGGACCCCAAGTTCGGCGTCCAAGTTCAGGCGCGACCCCCCGAGAAGCAGCGCATCACGCGCCCATTCTTCCAGGACGACGTCGTCACCGAGAAGCACCACGGCCTGAGCCTGGGCCTGGGACAATCGCTGGGCCAGCCAACCAGCCCCAACTACGGTCCGCAGACCTTCCCGACGCCGCCCAGTCAACCCTTCGAGCTGCGGCCCGCCAGCCCGGGGTCGTACCTATTTTCAGCCACTCCGACACCCACTGCCGAGCCCCTGGATCAGAGCTACCTGACGACGCCGTTCAGGGAGGAGACCACGCTCCCACCCACGCACATCAACGAGGTGCACTCTCCGCCGCTTAGACCCACGTCGTCTACGCGCCACCGCTTCCAGCCCAGCGTGAGCGTCATCCGGGACGAGGAGGAGGAGACCCCGGCACCCTTCACCGAGGACAAGCCATCCTTCCAGAAGCGTGTGCCGCTCAAGGGCCGACGCCGCAAGCCCTACACGTCCACGTCGACGTCCACGACGACCACGACGACGACGGAGGAGGCGCCGTCCGCTCAGATCGACCGTCAGCCCGAGGCCACGGACGCCCCCGGCCTAGAGATCCACGAGCTGCAGTTCCAGCCTGAGCTGTCTGAGGCATCGCCCACTTTGGCTACCACCACCAGCACGTCAAGGCCCCTGCTTCGTCGCAAGAAGCCCTCCAGGATCAGCCCGGGTGGTGAGAGGCTGAGGAACAGACTAGTCCCCCCGGAACTCATCAAGACTACGACGCCCGAGCCCGATACCACCACATTGTACCCCGCACAACTCGAGACTACCACGATGCCCGACTTTAACGAGTACCGCGAACACCCCCAGCACTCACAGCACGCCAAATACCCCGAGGAGAAGCCCGCCGGTCACGGTGAACATGAGTACAGCCAGCTGTTCAGCCAGCTGCCTTCTGTCGTGCCGACCCTGCAGGACTTCTCTAGTCTCGAGGACTTCAAGATGGAGGAACCCGCCAAGCCGGATGACTACCCCAAGCCCAATTATCCAAACGAGTACACCAAGCCCGAAGAGCAGTACACGAAGTACGCAGACGACGACTACAGGGCGGACTACCCTAGGACCGAGTACCCCAAGACCGAGCGCCCCAAGACTGAGTACCCGAAACAGACGGATTACCCGAAGACGGACTACACTGCAACTGATTACCCCAAGACAGACTACCCCAAGCAGGAGCTGAAGCCCGCGTACCCCTCAGAACAGCCCCAGGACGTTGCTCTCCCCAGTTACTCATTTGACTCGAGGCCCGCAGGCCAGTTCGACTCTAGACCTTCTAACCAGTTCCACTCCAGGCCTTCCAGCCAGTTTGACGCGAGGCCCAGCCAGTACGAGAGCTTTGACTTGGACCCCGTGTCGCCAACCTTGAACGCAGTGATCAGCAGCGCGGCTCCAACCCTCGCGGAGCTGGCGTCGCCGTCTGCGATCGCGGACGTGCAGGAGGAGCCCCAGACCACGGCGGCCCCCGCCGTGGAGACCACGACGCCGACCCTGTCCAACCGGCTGAGGCCCCGTATTCGCTTCAACTCGACGCGGCCCCGCTTCAGCGTCAAGGACTACCACGGCCGCAAGCCCACCAAGGACGGCGAGAATGAGGGGCAGACGCCCTCGACGACGGCCGCCCCCGCGCACGCGCCGAGCAGGGGCCGCGTCCCCTCGCGGACCAGGGGGTCGCACCGCCACACCACGGAGAGCAGGGACCCGGACACGGCCACGTCCACCGAGTCCAGCCGCCTGCGCTACCGCACCAAGGACCCCCTGCGCTTCAACAGCGGCCGCTATCGCAGCACCACCTCGACCTCCACGACCACGACCACGGAGGTGCCGCCCGCCGACGCCGCGGACGCCGGCTCCGAGGTGTCGACGGAGAAATCCAACGACAAGTCCCCCGTGATTAGCCGCTTCCGTCCGGGCACGGGCAAGTACTACAGCCGCTACCGCACGTCCACGTCCACGGAGGCGCCCGCCGCCGACAGCGCGCGCCTGGAGAAACCGGCCATCCGCATACCCACCCGGGCCAAGGGGGTGTTCTCGGTGCGGAGGACGAGCACGACGGCGGCCAGTAAGCTCGAGGACGCTCCGGACGACGAGCAGCCCGAGGAAGGTGAGAACTACCCGCCGCAGGCGCAGACCGCGCTGCACAAGCGGTACGGCAGCAGCCACGACACGGTGAGGGACAACGAGGTGCTGCCTTCCACCTCGCGGACCGCGCCCGCCGCGCCCGCCGCCACCGTGGAGATCCCCGGCCCGAGCGCCGTGCCCGCCTCCGCGCCCGCCCCCACAGCCGAGCAGCCCTCTAGCACGGCTTGGAGCCACAGCGACCTCGCGGACGTGCAGATCGACGCGTCGTCGTCGTCCTCGTCGGAGGACATGCTGTTGTCGCCGTCGCAGAGGGTGGCCGAGCTCACGTCCTCGCCGGGCAACCACTACAACAACCCGGGCACGTTCAAGTCAGTCATGCCCGCCAGCAGGAGAACGCCTCTGAAAGTGAGCCTGTCGACGGACGACCCCATCCTGCCCATCGAGGCCTTCTTCAACTCGTGGAGCAAGGACCAGAAGAACTCGTGAGCGGGGCAGGCCGTGCCGGGGCCACGTCCGCCCGCCCGCCCCGCCCGCGGCCCGGCGTGAAGGGGCGCGCTGAGCCCTGACCTGACCAGGACGCCGTCCACTTCCAGCGCGGCTCAGGGCGCCTTTCAACGAGACTATTTTCCCCGCGGATAATAGTCAGGCCGCTTACGTTCCGGGCCGGCCCGGGCCCCGCCGCCCTGCCATGCGAACCATCCGCCTCGCCATTCCGGAGCGACAATATCATATTTTTTTTCGTGCTGCTGTCGTAGCGATGCCAAAGCAAATTTTCGTGGTGGGCTTCAACAAGTTGTGGTGTGATGATTTTTTTATTTTAAAATTTACGGACTAAAAATGGAAATGTGCGGAGTGGGAATATTGTAATCTGATCGCTCTGATTTCTGGGTTCAACTACAGGAAAGGGATGCTCATTTTAATATGGCAAGAAAAGCAGGGTGATGTGCAGACCACACACTGCAAAAAACATGTGATGTAACATTCTTTAATCATAAGTCTGAATCTGCCTTAGTTGTACTCCTATTTGTAATGTCAGAGCAGAAGCATATTGTCGATTAACGTCTGAAGATTACTAGCTGTACTTGTATTTATTTTTCTATATTATACGAAAGTGTGTCATGTGAGAGTGTGTGTGAATGGAGAGTGCGTGTTCGTGTGTTTTGTGAGTGCGTGTGTTTTGTGAACGCGTGTGTGTGTGTGAGTGCGAGCGAAAGAGTGCTGCGTGTGAGTGTGTGTGCATGAGGTTCTTCCTCTGAGTGAGCCTCCTGGAGAGTGCGAAAAATTATTTATTTCTAACTGTTACATATAATTTTATTATACTATTTCAGAGTGCGTTGTTTATGTGGCTCTTTTCATGCGCGTAAAACGTGTAACCTGTAAATAAACAGTACAACACAGACTTGACTTGTCGCGTTTTATTCCTTCTCCCTCACCCTCCCGTCGTCGTGTTGGCTCACACATCGCACTCCGCCTTCGTCGTCGTCGTCCTCATCCTGCGCCGGGATGAGCCACTCTCAGGACCGCAGCACGGCGAACACGCTGTAGGACTTGTTGAGCACCTGCATCACACACATTTTAGAAAGTCTTACACGCTCCCCGTTTTGACATGTGTACGCGCGCTCCGCCCGGGACGGATGCACCTGCCGCCGGCCGCGCGGGAGCGCGGGGGGGAAATCATACCGTGTCATAATTTACGGTCGAGTCGAGAGTGGACCAGGGATGCTGTGCGCTGGTCAGCCGAGCGCCCGGCACGGCGGCAGAGACGCAAATTAGTCCGGAGTTGGAGCAGAAAATGGACAAACTGCCGAACGCGGTATCACTCGGGAGAATGGTCAGCGGTTTGCCTAACGAATTGGGGCATCTCGTCGTGTCGTGGCGCGCCGCCGCCGCCGCCGGCCACTCCGCCGTCCGTCGTCGTCTCCTCCGCTGCACAGCTTTCGTCTCGTAAAATTAGTACGTGACGCGGTAAAACGGGAGCGATTATCTCTCTCCCGAGCGAACGCGTGAATGAACGCGTCATATTTCTGGCGGCGCGGGGTTCAGTCGCTGCTGGCCTGCTCCTCCCTCCTCCCCGTGACGCCAGCAGCGCCAGCAGAACTTTCATTGGAGCCTCATCTCGACTAATTACAACGCTATCTTCTATGCCATTCTCGCGCGCGGCGCGTACATATGTGAAGTGCATGACTCCGCCGCTGCGGCCGGCCGCGCAGGGTAACACGTAGGGCTGTGCGACACCACGATATTCTTTCGATATCGAAATATCGATGTTGTTTGACGCTACCATATATCGCGAGCTATCGGTCACTTTGAGACGTATCTTTTTCTCGATATGGTTCGATATTGCGAAATCACTCGATATTAGCGAGACTCTATGCGTCGAGTCAATGTTCGATACTTGGTCGACATCGCAAGGCGATATCAAAATCTGGATATCGCGTAGCTCCCACAGGTACAACCAAGTACACCACGGGTGCGATTGGAAAGCTCACGGTGAGCTCAACGTGAACTCACGGACCGCGCCTTCTAGACCGCCTTCTAAACCGCTCAAAATGGGTGTTATATCAAGTTAAGCCAAGCCGAACGCGCAAGCCCAAGCCCAAGCCGAAACTCAAGCCCGATGCGACGAATTTTTCGGATTAAAGTTATGTTTTTAGTGTTTTCAGAGTTCATTTTTACGCGCATTGCCGCAGCTAGTGTGTATTTAAGTGCATTTGTGCTACTGGGGCAAGAATTCTGTGTTACTGGCGTTACTTTAATCCGAAAAATTCGTCGCATCGGGCTTGAGTTTCGGCTTGGGCTAGGGCTTGCGCGTTCGGCTTGGCTTAACTTGATATAACAAGGGTGAGGGGTGTGGGGGACGTTTTTTAAGTAAGCTCACGGTGAGCTCTCCAATCGCACCCCAGCGAGAGTGTGTGTGTGTCGGGGCCCCACCTGCAGCCAGGTGACGCGGGAGATGCTCAGCACCCTCCAGCACCATAGGGCCGAGGGCTTGGAGGCGCGGAACACGGTGAACTTCATCAAGGCCTGGATGGGCTCGGGGGCGGACGTCCAGTCGGAGGCCATGACGCGATGCACAATGTCCTCTGTCTGATCAACAAAACTTCGTTAGTGGTCGTCCCCAAACTAAGTGACCTCCAGGGAGGGGGTACAAATACTAGTTGGCGAACGGTGACGTCAGAGGGAATGACTAGAACGACAAACTTCGTCATCAGACACGAAAGCGCGCCACCTCCCGTTCCCTGGCAAACTACACCAAAGCTTTTAGTGTGAAGCTTCACAGCTGTAGGTACAACTGACACGGAGAAGGGCAGCTACAAACGAACCGAAGCAGATCATGGAAAAAGTTCGCACGGCCATCCCCCTCCCCATGACCCCCCTCCCCCCCACTCGAAAGTATTTGTGCCGAGAAAAATTTCGGTTTCGACGGAGACTCGAATCTCCGTTCAGACGAAATTTTTCTCAGCACATATACTTTCGAGTGGAAATGAATAACAAAGACACGTTTTACCGATCCCCTTTCGTCAGGGTTGGGGTGCCCGAGCGAACTTTGTCTTCGGTCCGGTCTACCGTCGGTTCGTGTGAAGCTGCCCGTGTTCGTGTCGGTTGTCGGTTACAGCTACAACTATGTAGCTACAAACAGGATCGTACCACAGCCCGCCTGTTTGCAGCCGTCAGTTCAGTAATTTTATTTAGTGCTTTTGGTATTTTATAATGTGTTGCTTGCCATCGCCAAGGACTGGAACTGCAGGGAAGCTGTTGGCCTTTGAGGTTATTAACCTCCCCACTGGAATACTACATGAATTTCACAAGTAAGTGCAAACATGATGTCTGGTTCAGTAGAGAAGTTCCCCTGCAACTGAAATATACTTGGACATTTTACAATATTGTTGTTTAAGTGTCAATCAGTTCATTAAGTTTGTATTCATCATTGCTTCCACCGCTGTCTTATTTGAAGCAAATTAGTTATCTGTTACGTAAACAGTTTGGCTCGTGTAGTATGTAGGCGGTGTCTGTGAGCTACATATCCCAGTCCATACAGTTTAGTCTTAAGGTCTGAGATACACAACTGCCCTCGAAATTGAGTAGATATTAAAATATTTTATATGGGCTCTAATATATATAGTTTGTGGAGGAGTTGGTTTGAATGCATCGCAAAATATCATATAACTTAATGTGAAGTGGTGGACGGAAGTTTTTGGGTTAAAATTTTCCAGATTGAGAGCTTTGCTTTGCTTATCAACAATTAGTGTCTCAAAATCGCCAGCAGGTACATCGTAAGAGTCCAGCCCAGTGAGCAATGAAATGTCAGACTGATGTCAGAACGATATCAGTGATCAAAAACATGTCAATTTCAGGACCACATTTTTTATCAATCTGATGCGAAAAGTGACCAATTTCTGATATCTGACGTCGTTTTGATATCGGTCTGATATTGCATTGCTCACTGGGAGGGGCCCTGTTATATTTTTACCAAGGGGTGCAAATATTATGGGGTCGCACGGGCTTCAACAACTACCGCCTTGATCCTTATGAAACGCTATAGTATTCATACCGCCCTAAAGGTCACGTAGTATGGGGACGACCTCTCAGCTGACGATGCTGTGCTCGCGAGTGGAGTGCGCCGTGAGCGCCGGCAGGCCCGAGCCGCCGGCGAGTCAAATGGGTGGCCTACCCACCCGGCGCGCCCGACTCACCGCCTCGCGCAGCTGGTCCGAGCTGTAGCAGAAGACGCCGACCAGCGTGTTCGAGCAGATGAGGATCATGAGGGTGGCCATGAAGAGCGAGCTGGTCGGCGGCACCACGGACACCTGGTAGATCATGGTGGCGATGAAGGCGAGCCCCGTCATGAACAGGAACAGCAGCATCAGCCGCAGCACCCTGTTCAGCTCCATCGCAGCACTGCGTCAGAGTACTTATTGACGTTAGGACGAACAGCGCGACCTGCGGCGAGTGGCCTCGAGGAAACCTACTTGAGGATGTCCTGGTGGAAGGTGATGCAGTGCGTGACCATGCTGCGGACCCCCTGCTCACGTGCGAAGCTCAGTCTGGCCTCGGAGAAGGGTATGTCCTCCAGCATGAGCCCCAGGATCCTGGCCTGGAAGGACAGGAAGATGGCCATGCCGCCGAAGAAGGTGATGTAGCTGGTGACGATGACGGTGCAGGTGTACTGCGACACGGACTGCGAGAGCATCATGATCGCCTCTTTGGAGGGCGTGTCCGGCCCCGACAGCAGCCAGAAGTTGCTCGCGAGGAACGGGCGCGGCATGGTGCCGGTCACCAGCCACTCCACGAAGGGCTGGTTCACCACCCCTGTCTGTAGGGGGGAGGGAGAGAGACAAAGGGAGAAAGGGCACAGTCAGGATCGGGTGCAAGATGAAGACAAGGGTGAAGTCGGGCTGCTCACCGAAGAGTACGTGAACCAGCACACGTAGCCCAGTATGATGTTGTTGATTTGGCTGCGGGCGCGTCGCTGCAGCGCCTCCACCCGCTCTCGGAGGAGGCCGCGGAGGCCGTGGTCGACGGACGCGAGCCGCTCGGCCTCTACCACCAGAGCCTTGCACAGCGATGCGGTCAGGGTGACTCCGGGCAAATAAAGCACCACCCCGCGGTCCAGGACCTCCGCGCCCCACCCTGCAGATCACCTGAATGCTGCGGACGTGGTGCCGGAACAGGACCCACATGGAGAAGGCCAGCAGCCTCCACAGGGACGAGCAGATGTTCTGGCAGGTGCGCTCGAGGGAGCCCGAGGGGAGGGACACCGTGCCGCCCATCTCGCCCACCGCGTTGAGCAGCGTGAAGACGCCGATGGCGAGGCTGTAGGCCGCGAACAGCCGCCGCCGGCGCTTGGGCGCGTAGGCCGGCGGGGACCACATCCCGGCCAGCGTCAACAGCAGCACGCTGCGCTTGAACACAGGCGGCGGCGGTAGCGGCGGCGGCGGTAGCGGCGGCGCCGGGGCCTCCCGGGCCCGCCTACCTGAAGTCAGGGGTCAGGGGTCAGCCTGCGCCGGGCCTGCTCACCGTCGTCGGTCGACGTCTCGCGGGCTCACCTGGCACGCCGTCGTGGGTCACCATGTTCCGCGGAGTGCTTGCGAGCGGAGGGCTCGTCCCTGGTCGGGCCTGCTGATGGCTTGGCTGGCCGGCCAAAGCGATTTGGCGATGATGTCGGCCAATTGCTTCGATTACTGCATTCTGATCGCACCGGGGGGCCGCCGTCACGCCAATGTCACGTGCGCGTCGCGGCCAAGGCGAAGGTGGCCGTCAACTTCGTCCGTGTGTGAACACGACCCGCTCATCCTAGTTTCATCCGGACGGGACTGTGTATAATTGCAGACGGGGGTAAGTCAAGGAGTCATTTGCTATGAATACAAGTGTACACCGAATTTTCTTTTTTGTCTTTTTCCCGACTTTCTCTCATTCTTTATAATTTTCCTGATTCTCTAACGATTTTTAAAACGAATTTTTCGGATTTTCTTTCTTGATTTTCCTTGATTTTCAAAACGGATTTTTGTGATTTTTTTTCCGGGAGGGGTGTACACTGATTTTTAAAAAATGAAGAAACCCTCTGGTTTAGTCCCTGGGGTACAACAAAATCTATCCCTGTTTTTATTCGTTTATCCAAAAGTAACACACGTTAGGTCATACGTTGTGTGTGCAGAGGGCGTGTAGGAGGATAATAATGTAGCGAATGTGGGAGAAAGTAGTGTAATAGAAAATGGTCCGCTTCTGTTACGAAACTCGACGAAATCGAATCGAACTACTTGCCATCTCATTGGGTTTTGAAGGGAGCTGATCGGCTGACCGCACCTGCCGTCCTGCTGCGGGGCCTGCGGGGCCTGCGGTCTGCTGCGCCCCGCCCGCCGGACGCCGCGCCGGCAGGGAACAAGAACTGCGTGGGAGGCGGCAGGTGGGTAGGGGGCGGCTGGCTGGGGCGGGGCGGGGCGGACGGAAAAAGTAAATAAAACGGAACTAGTCGCCGGACGTTACTCGAACCAAGTCTCCGTGGGTCGGATCCTCGAACCCGGTGGCACTGCCCCTGGGGGCAACACGGCCCGAGGCTCCCGACGAGGGGTTGGGTCGACTAGATCAACTTGCACCTTTGGCTCCCAGAGAAGCTGCAGGGCTGTGAGATGGGCACCAGCAGCCGGGACCTTCTCTGGGAACGCGAATAACTTTCACTGGGGTGGGGTGGGATCGGGCGGGGCACGGCGGGGCAGAGCGGGGCCTGGGCGTCTTCCGCCACCATCCTCACAATGTCAATGTCAGTGCATCCGGAGTCATCATGGAACACAGGGAAGACCGTGCGAGTTGTGCCGTTGCGCCGTTGCTTGCTCGACCGAGGCAAGAAGCTTGGGGCTGAAGGGAGAGTACACTGCAAAACAAACACTGAATTTTCAATAACAACCTCAAAGAGCACGCGTGAGCGTTACTACGATCAGATCAACGATGCCATCCAAATTCCGGTGGGCGACGATATTGCTCGTCAGCTTTGAAGATTTCCCGGAAAGCGCGGGGACACCGCGTGGGGACCAATGTAAGGCGAACCCTTGACGCGCCGACCGTGCAGTACATCGCGCCGCGCTCGCGCCACATTTCTGGATGGCGTCGTCGGCCGTGTCGTAACAGGGCGGCCGGCTGCTCGGTCTGTCCCGCCGCGTCAGCGCTCCAGAGCGCGGCCCAGGCTCTCTTACAATAGTCACCCACATCACGTATACACACGCCCCCCTCAAACTGCCCCGCGAGGCGGGCGGGAGGAAAGCTCTGGCCTGGCTGTCGGCACGGCGGGCCAGGAAAGGGAACAGAGTGATCAGAAAGCATGAATCAGTCCGTCGGATTATGAGGGTCACGTGACCAAAACGTTATTATGCGGGCCGAATGTGAGCGCCGCCGCCGGCGCCGCCGCGACTCAAATATCGCCGAGCACGCGATCTCATGCGATCTCATTAAAGGCAAATATGAAAGTGCTGGCCGCACTCGCCGCTCGCCCGCCCCA